GGGGAGGATGAGAGGGATTCATGGCAATGTGTCCTTTAGTGTGTTATTTGCTTACTAACTATCTTTTTGAAACAAGGTCTCACTTCACAGTTCAGGCTGGCCTTGAACTCAAGGTGATCCTCTTGCCTTAGCCTCCTGAGTGCTAGTAGAGGTGTGCACGCTCACGCCTGGCCTAGTATGACCCATTTTAAAATCTAAATACTCATTGCCTTTTTCAATCACTCCTTCTATACTGAACAGTTTCCGTCGGCCACAGGGCAGGCACGTTCCTGCTCTTGGCAATCTCTAGACTGGCAGCTGTGGAGGACAGGCTTCATGCTCGGCGTTCCTGAGGCCATGGGTGGCTGTCAGCTTTCCTGTTGCTGACACGCAACACCTGACACGCACTATCTAAAGGAGGACAGGCTTAACTGTCCAGAGGGCTCTGTCCATCGCCATCCAAGGGGTGGGGAGTAACGCTGCTTCATTCACAGTGGCTAGGAAGCACAGCATAGCCTGGTTCCACGTCTGTCTGAAGTGCTGAACTGCTGTTACTAACAGCCCAGGACGGTAACAGCACACAATAAACAGGTGATGAATGTCCTAGAATCTGAAAACATCCTTTTAAAGTTTAATAGAGCCTGTGAAATTCTTCTCAGAATGTTTTAAAATTTATATGACATCTGTGGCTAGGTATAGTGACATATACCTATAATTTCAGAACTCTGTGAGGCTGAGGCAGGAGAATCACCGCATAGAGATGCAGTCCAGGGAATTTAGCAACTTAGCAAGACTCTCTCAAAAAAAAAAAAGGCCTGGGGATGTAGCTCAGGGTGAAGGCCCTTGCTCTGATCTCCAGTACTGCCAAAAGAAAGGGGGGTTTCGTCTTGCCTTTAGGGATACACCAGAGCACTTCCTGCAAAGATGCCCTGTGTGGCAACCCAGCTTGGCAGGAGGGAGATGGGGGAGCCCCAGGGAGTCCTCCCTCAGCCTTACAGGTCCCTGTCATTGAGCCCAGTGAGCTGGGCTTCCACTCGCCCACCCTGACTGCTTTGCTCAACAGTAGAGCACCACTACAGGGGACCCCTCCTGTCATATCCTACACCAGGCATGGCTTCCAGGATCCTGAAGTCTCAGCAAATAAAATAACTCAAATTGCTCAGAAAATGGAAACTCATGCTTTAAAGATTTACTCAATTTGTGTGTGCACAGTGCTGGCGACTGAACCCAGGGCCTTTACAATGAGTTGCATCCCTAGCTCTTTTATTTTTTGAGGCAGAGTCTGGATAAGTTGCTCAGGTTGGGCTCCAACTTGTGATTTTCCTGCCTCCCAGGGATATGGGACTGGACACAAGAATACCACCCCTGGCTGGAGTCTCACAGTCTAGCAAGCTGTAAGAGTTCTACCTTTGTCATTACTGATATGCATAAGTGTTCAAGCTTTTTTTTTTTTTTAAGTGAGTTGGGCTGGCAGTGTTGTGCAGTGGCAGAACATTTTTCAGCTCAAATTCCTGTGTTAAATTCCTAGCACTGCCAAACAAAAAGGGTTATAGAATATAAATTTATCAATTTCTCCATATACCAGGGCCAGGTTCAGTATACCACGTTCAATAGCATAAGTGCTTGCTTGGCAAGCGCAGGGTCCTGAGTTCAATCCCAGATACCGCACACACACACACACACACACACACACACACACACACACACACACATAAAGTTATATAGCATAAAGAGGCATGTGAGATTTGGCAGTCAGAAAACACACATGGGTGCGAGCCTGTAATCCCAGCTCTTGGGAGGCTGTAAACAGGCGGATCACTAGGAGTCCGATCTAGCAGTGAGACCCTGAACACACTGGAGGCCCTTCCCTAAAATTAAAAAGTAAAAAAAGAAAGAAAACACACATCATATTAGTAAACTGGGTGTGGTGGTGAAGCCTGTAATCCCTGATGAGGCAGGAGGAACGTCACGAGTTCAAGGCCAGCCTGAATGGGATCCTGACTCCAAAACCTCAAAGTAATTTAATAAACAAGGTAATACAGCTGTTTTCGTTTTGTAAAAATGGCCTTTCCGGTTGACTGCCAGTGTCCGGTGCCAGAGCACACATTTGATGATGGAGTATCTGTGAGGTGGATCTTTGAGGCCCCACCAGCAGCGTGTGGAAGGAAGACGGGGGGGGGGGGGGGGGGGGGGGGGGTTATGCCCACCGGGAGACAGGCTGGAGGGGCCGGGAGAGCGCGGGGGACACACTGACAGTTCAAATGCGAGCCAAGAACTGATTTGCTTTTTTTTTTTTTTTTTTTGCTCTTGCTTTGGGGGGCAAAAGTAGCCTTGAACCTTTGACCCTCCTGTCTTGGCCTCCAGAGAGCTGGGACTGCAAGTGTACATCACCAAGATCACGATAAATCAGCTCCGGGTCGAGGCTTTTAGAAAGCCTTTCTAGCCTGAGCTGGAGCTGGGCAGCCCCGGAAAGCGCAGGTTAGGAGGGGCCGCAAATTGCTCGGCCCCAGCCGGACTGCGGGTTGACAGCGGCAGGAGAGGTCTGAAGCCAGGCCTTGGGGTCCCAGGGACCCCAGGGAGAAACGTAGGGGGGCAACGAGGGTGTAGTTCACGGGGGAGGTACCGGGTACACTGGGGCTGGGGGCAGCCTGCCTCCCAATGCTTCCTGTCTGAGTCACTCCCACTGCAGCTCCTCTTCCCGGCGTGGGCGCCCGGCCAGCGGGTGGCGCCGGGAGGAGCGGCGGGCAGGAAGGCAGCAGGGCGGGCAGAGCGCTTCCTGGCCAGCAGGTGCCGGGCCAGCTGCTGCAGACGGCGGATCAACAGGATGGCAGCCGGGAGGGCGAGCGGAAGGAAAGGAGGCCGATGCTGCAGACCCGGCGAGGGCGGGAGGGGCCGGGATCCGTGGTCACCCTACCCTGCCTGCTGGCCCAGCCCACGGGTGGAGACTGCCTTCGTGCTGACTGCTGGGGTCAGCCTGGGTCTCTGTGGAAGTGCACAGAGCCGGTATTTTTTCAAAAGCCGACCCCGCCTAAGTTCGCCTTGGTGCTTGCTGGAGGCGTCTCGGCAGTAAAAGCCGCAGCAGGGGGCAGGGAGCCAAGTCGCTCGGCCGGCACGAGGCGTCTCCCTATCTCTACTTCCCGGTTGCTGAACCGAGCGGTCCTGCGCCGAGCTAAGATCCCCGACGGCTTCGGGCAGAGTCCGCCGGAGCCAGCTGTGCACTGCGATCTAATGCGGCCGGCCACGCGGGCTCCTCCCAGTCCAATTCGGCCGCTGCTGGAGCCCCTGAAGGCACGGCCGCTCCCCGAGCCTCCGGCCCCACCCGCGGCGCCCCGCCCCGCCCCCACCCGCGGCACCACCCCCAGCCGGGCGGGAGGGCTTGTAGCGGGCGTCCCCAGCTAGGTGGCCCCGGGAGTCCCCGGCCGGCGCTGCACACGCTCCGCTGACAGCGCTTCACGCCGCCGGCAGCCGCTGATCACGCGCGGCGCCGCGCGCCTATTGGCCGGTGCCTCACACACCTTTGCTTCTGATTGGCTGCCCTCAGGCCCCGCCCCCACCCCCGCCCGCGGCGCGGAGCCGGCAGGGCTACCTGAATGGGGCGGGGGCAGACGGCGCGCTGCGCGGAGGGAAGCTGAGGGCGTCGAGGCTTCGTCTTGCGCGGTGCGGTGACCACTATGCTCAGCTTGGGTGCTGCGCTCCAGCGGGCTGCGGTGAGTACGAGGAGCGGGATGGGGCTGGGGATGGAGTGGTCCTGTGGGGCCCCGCCGCCGGCCCAGGGAGATGCCCGCGTGGCCTCAGAGTGCGACCGGGTTAGGCAGAGGTGCGCGGTGTTTCGGGACGGGGTGGAGTACGGGATCCCGCCGGCCGAGAAGGCACCTTGCAGCAGCCCTGGGGAATGCAGGTGTGGACCTGCCCGTGGGAGCGCACCCAGTCAGCCCCCGTGTGGGGGGGGGGCGCGGTGACCCCCGGGAAGTGCAGGACAGTGTCCCGAATGGAACGCCCCGCATGTCTGGAGATACGGATGTCGCTGGGGAGGGGCACAGGACGGAATCTCGGAAAGAAGGTACAAGACAGGGTCCAGGAGAGGAGGCGCCCACAGCTGGCCGAGGGGAATGCCCGTGTGGGCCGGAGGGCGCCTGGCTGGGAGGAGTGTAGACGGGGCCTGGGGCTGAAGCAAACCCCCAGCCCCGCCAGAGATGCTCATGTGGACTCAGAATGTGCCCTGGCCAGCCTTGGAGAGCAGAGTGCAGCCGGAAGGGGTGCGCGACGGACCCTGGGGAGATGCCCGCGTGGACTGGTGGCGGCGACGTGGCCCTCGAGGCTGCAGCCGGGGACCCCACGCGGGCCAGCAGGTGGCCACCAGGCGCCCTCAAAACAGGCGGATGGGCGGGAGCCGTCGCGAGACGCGGGGGCGGGAGGGGCCTGGTCTGGGTCCCAGCGGCGGGCGAGGGCGGCGGCGGGGCTTTCGCAGCCCGGCTCCTCCTCCGCGTGGCGCGGCCCCGGGAGCGCCTCGTCCCCGGGTGACCCGGCTGGCCCAGCCGGGGCGCGCAGCGGTCTGTTCCTAAGGGAACGGAGGCGGAGCGGGAATGCCGGGTGGCCCCGCCCTCAGCCACTGCCCCCCTCCCGCGGGGCGTGGGGGCGGTGGCCCAGGAAGTAGGGGAAAGGTGACGGCGCGGCGATCCCAGTTCACGTTTCCTGCGCCACCCCGCAGTAGCTGATCACGCTTTGTTCACATGCCTCGCCCCCGCCCCGCCCCAGCCCCGCCCAGCCCACGGACCAATGAACGCGCGGGCCGCCGCCCGGCTGGCCAATGATGGACCGGGGGCACGCGGACGTGCGCGCGGGGAGCGCTGGCGGTGAGTCACTGCCGCGGGAGGACCCCGCCCCCGGCTGTCTGCCGCTCGCCGCCTGTGCTGCCCCGCTATGCCGCCCGCCGTCTGCCTAGCTCTGCGCCGGCGGCTCCCGCCCCGCCTGCTGCCCAGCGGCTTACGTAAAATGTCTGGTTATGCAATTGCATTGTTAGCAATTGTTCCGGGAGCCGGGCTCTCCACACGCAGGAAATGTGCGTTTTTTTTAAAAAAAAATGAGCGTTGAGAATACCTTGCAATGTAATATATTATGTTAATTTTATACAAGTCTCTTTTAGCTAAGGGAAGTCTCTTTTTAGCCAGGTTTTGTCTTTTTAAAATGCAAGTCAAAAAACTGTAAGTGCAGGTATGAATAGTTCTTGCTATCAAGCAATACTTGAAACAGGTTCTATTTTGTCAGCTACAGACTCTGCCCCGTTCAGGCTTTTCCAGATCCCAAATCAAATGTTTTTCTGGTTGTATGGTTTTTACTGTTGTGTTTGTTGGCCATTATTAGCGTAGAAAATCTTTGTGTTAGGCATAAACAAGATTAGTGAAAGGTTAGGGGGCAAAGCTTGATTTAAACACAGCCTTAGCATATTCTCCACGTATTTCACTTTATTTCCCTTTGCTATAGATAATCAAGTTATCAGGAACTTTATACTTCCAATAATCTGGCTTCACTTGAAAGAGTCCCTGAGGATCCTGATTACCCATTGGATTTTATCCCAAAGGAATGGGCAAAGGTCGGCACTGTGTTGGAGTCCAGGGCTCCATCTCCCGTAAATACAGGATTGTGTGGGCTCCCTGCCTCTTTCTGCTATGAGATCAAAACTCAAGCCCCCTTGTACAGACTGCCTTTCCTAGCCTGCCTCATGTAGCCTGTCCTAGCCTGAGGAGGTTTTGTGTGTGTGTGTGTGTGTGTGTGTGTGTGTGTGTTGAACCCAGGCTTCATGTTTGCTAGCCTGTGCTCTTTCAACTCCAGCCCCCTTTAGGTTATTTTATTTTTTGTGGCAAAATCGTACTAAGTTGCCCATGATGATCTCCAAACCTGTGGTCCTCCTGTTTCAGCCTCCTGAGTGTCTGGGCTTGTAGGTGGACACCACCACACCCAGGAAGAGGGTCCTCATCTCTGCTCTGTTGGCTGCTGCCGGAAGACTGTAGGACGAGGTCTTCCCCTCAGGCTGGGGCTTCTCTGCCTCTCAAATGCAGCACGAGCTCGGGCTTGGCCTCCTTGGTGGAGGTTTTCCCATCTTCACCTTGCCAGGGTTGTAGTGCTCAAGTGTACCAGATGGGAAAGGAGCCTGAGGGAGATTTTGCTACCATTACCATGAAGACTGGCTCTCCCCGCAAATGTGGCCAAACTTCCTAGACTTCTGTCTTTGGATGCTAAGAAATACGCTTTTAAGCTTTTGATTTTTGTTCTTACAGGAGGAAAGAATGGAAGTGATTTCTGAAAAGTGCAGAGAGAGTGTGTACTCCTGGAACAGAACTGCAGAGAAGAGTGACTATGAGGCCGTGGAGGCACTCATGACTATGAGCTGCAGTTGGAAGTCTGATTTCAAGAAATATCTGGAAAACAGACCGGTCACTCCGGCATCGGACACGTCAGAGGAGGAGGGCCTGCTGCCGGGGACACCTGACTTCCACACAGTCCCCACATTTGTGAGTGCTGCTGTTTCTCAGTGGGTGTGGGGCATGGAATCCCTCATGCTTTGTGTCCTGAGTCCCAAGTTTCTCATGCTGTTGCTGTTTTTTCCCTTTAGTGTCTGACCCCACCCTACAGCCCCTCTGACTTTGAAGCCTCTCAAGTGTCAACCCTGATGGCACCGGCGCCATCTGGCGGACATTGCAAGTCACTGTCAGTCCCTGCCAAGCTCCACATAGCTGCGCCTTACAAAGAGGAGGAAAAGAGCCCCCCACCCATCCCCAGACTTCCCAAGGCACAGGCGACAAGTGTGATACGGCACACAGCTGATGCCCAGCCCTGCAGCCACCGAGCCTGCCCTGTGAAGACCTCCAGCACCCTCAACTACCAGGAGGGCTCTTTCCAGAGAAGGCCCCACCCGAGTGTTGAGGTTGTGAGGAAAAATGTGCCCTGCGCGGCTGTGTCTCCCAGCAGAGCCAAGTGTGAGCCTGACACATTGGCTGCTGCCAGTGACCCGGTGGCCACTGCACCCCGTGATTCCCCCACGCCTTCCTTGGACGCCATCCTCTCCAGGGCCTGGCCTGGCCCCTCATCCCCACAACCCCCAGCAGTGGCCTCTCCACCCACGGTGCCCACGCTGGGGACATCGCCGCCACTGCCAGTCATCTGCCAGATGGTCCCCCTGCCTGCACACAGCCCTGTTGTGACCACTGTTGTGCCCAGCACCCCACCCAGCCAGCCGCCCACCGTCTGCCCGCCAGTGCTGTTCATGGGCACTCAGGTGCCCAAGGGTGCCGTCATGTTCGTGGTGCCCCAGCCTGTGGTGCAGAACCCGAAGCCGGCGCTGAGCCCACATGGCACTAGACTGTCTCCCATCGCTCCGGCCCCTGGGCTCACCCCCTCCTCGGCCAAGGCAGCACCACAGGTGGACTCCTCCAGGATCCGGAGCCATATCTGTAGCCACCCGGGCTGTGGCAAGACATACTTCAAAAGCTCCCATCTGAAGGCGCACGTGAGAACACACACAGGTACCGTCTACTGTTCATGTCCTTAAGATGAGTGATAGGCAGAGTGTGGTTAGGGAGCGTGGAGGGATAGGCCTGGCATCCTAACACTCTGGGAGGTGAGGCAAGGGGATGCCAAGTTGGACTGCAGCCTGGGCAACTTAGTCAATAATGAGAGCCTGTCTCAACGTTTTTAAAAATGGTAGGAATGTAGCTCAGTGTGAAAGTTTGGGTTCAGTCCCCAGTACCATTAGTCATGAAGTATGTATTTATGATTACATACAGAAAGCAGATGTGTTAGGAAAGAATGGCGTTGTCCACCAGTGCAGGGCATGAGCCTGGCCACCGTGAAGGCCACCAAGAGGCTCCCTCCATGCTTTTTTTTTTCTCCGAATGCCTTCAGGGCATGATTGGCTGGCTTGGGTTGTGGGGATCGAACCACAGCACCCTGAGCCTGACTGTTTTGTTGAAGCAGCCACTTAAAGAACTGAGCTAAGGGGCAGGCCCCTTCTCCATGCTTTTCATATGATACCAAAGGGCAGTTGTGTACACAGCTAGGTGATTAGCGAGGCAGAGCTAAGGTCTGAAGACATTTTGGATTGCGTTCTTAGGAGTGGAAGAGTTGAGTGGCTGTGGTAGCATGAAGGTTGAGGAGCAGAGCGCGCCCGTGACCCCACG